AGAGTGGAGCCCGAAAATCTTCACTAGCCCACTTGAACCAGCAGATGAAGGGGACTGACCGTTCTGCTTCAGCTACCAACAAAAGAACTGAGCCAAGGGAGGCCAATGCAAGGCATATTTGAGACACTGGGAAATGGAAAATAATCAGGAAAGGCAAAATCTTCAACTGGTACTATCAGGATTCCCATTTTTCTTGTTTGGGATCACTAGCATTTCTGAATTTGGGGGTCATGCACATATTTACCAGTCACAAGAAGTCTTCATCTGTAGACCACCAACCAGTCCCAGAAACCCTTACAGTTTTTATCCACTTTCTTGACTTAGAAATAACCTTCTGGTTTTCTTCCTTCTCAACATCCAACATCATCTCCCTATTTCTATGTCTTCCTCATATGTAGAGAAGGGACACACTCACTAAAAGAGAGGAATTAAATGGAAGTCACATCCTTTGCTCCAGAGGCAGGTGGTCCAGGGGAAATTAACAGACCTTCCCATTCTGTGCTTCTAAGTGCATGACTAATTCTTTTTGTTCCTCTTCAGTTTACACTTTTCCTTTCCCAGTCTGTCAATCAAGACTGCATCTGAAACAGCTGAAACAACTCCTTTTATGAGAATCTTAACTTCTTATAAACATACCTCTGCATACCCATTAATACTCCAATAGTTGTTTCTTTTTCCTAAGAATTTCTCAAATCCCCTTTACATAGAATCACTGCCCTTGATACCCGCTTCAGAGAGATTGAAGATCAGTAAGAAAAAGAAAAAGAAAAAGAAAAAGAAAACAACCTCTCTTATGTGCACCAGAAATAATTTGGTATCAGTTCTTATTTTCTCCCATTTGATCCATTTTTATACCATTCAGGTACTGAAGAGTTAATAATAATAAATATAAATAATGTAAAGTGTGTGTGATTTTAGAATGGATTTGTGATTTGGGGAAAAATTAAGCATGAAAATTCTTTTCAGAGTATGATAATAATCATTGTTTTGATTGTGCCTTACTGAGAGTTTATGAGGACTCTGCGAATTGCTTATGTGATTATTTATGGAAAAATCCAAGCCTTTGAAATACATATTATCTTCAAGGAGAAGGTTTTAATATTTTCCTAAAATGAGATATTGAAGCAAAATTATGACATCAACACGACTGGTGAGTAAACTGCTTTGCAATAGACCACATGATTTCCAGTCAGGTCATGGAAAGTGAAAGAGACTGACAAACTACAGAGCTGAATTTTAGACTGGATAAGGTCTTTCTCAAGGTGGCTGTTATGCACAACCATAACAGGGATCTCTGTGAATAAAACTGTCATGACTACTGACTTTATTGGTTATAGATTCATCAGTTTTAGGGGTTTAATATTAGAAAGGATCATCCACGAAAGATTATAAATCTTCATTTTTCAACAGTGAAAACCAGGGTGCTTTGCTTTTATCTTCAGTAAACATGTATTTCATGGGGAAATTACATTCAGTTAGCAATCATGTGATGAAAAAAACTCTTGCAGTGTTCCTTTTTGTAAGACTGTATTTGGTAAGATTGTTACTTTATCTGTACTACTTGCAGATTCTTCCTTGAGGACTCTTCTTTTAATTTTCTTCTGGTTAGCTAGCTAGGAAATGTCTTCAGTGCTGCACAAATTTTGTGTTGATATCCTGTGTCATACAGAGAGAACTGCATTTGTGGTTAGAAAATGAGAGTTTTAGACTTATTATTCTGAATTATCTTATGGGCCAATCATTTTACTTCATGGAGCTGATTTCATTAAGTTTAAAGCAGAAATATTTATAAGTTCCTCATGATGCTACTGTTTGTCAAAATAAGGTAACTGCGAAATTAATTTCACAACCTAAATTGTAATATAAAATGGAAAGAAAATTTATAAAATATTTAAAAAGATTTAGTGATTCATTTTAAGCATAAGAGAGCACAAACATGCATAAACAACTTTATTTGGTGAACTAAATTCATAAACAAAAAGTAGAGATAACTACTTTGAGGATATTATCAAATATTTTATATGATAAGTGCAATGTTCAATGAAAGTGGCTAATATAATATGTATATAAGAAGAAATGAGGGGCTAAGGTTGTAGCTCAGTGGTAGAGCATTTCCCTAGCATGTGTGAGGCCCTGAGTTCAATCCTCAGCACCACATAAAGATATAGAAATAAAATACAGGTATTGTGTCCATCTACAACTACCAAAAAAAATTAAAAAAAGAAATGAGAATTAGGTGTGTTGTTAAGCAACCATTATTTAAACCTTACAGCTGCAAAGAAAATCCAGTTAAAATGAAAAAGTCAAATAAATTTATGGACTAAATTATAAAGTAGGGATATAATACTCATTTAAGTATTGACTCCTGGCATTCTGTGCTCAGGGAGGAATGATAATGTCTCTTTAACTGCCATTCTTTTGAAGAGTCTAGCTGCCTGAAGAGTGAAAGGTGACCAGTGTCTTCACTACCAATATTGGACCTAAAGGAGAGGTCTTTGTAGATAGTGAGGAGGAAAAAGAGAATTCTTTAGACATACTTTCTTTCCCTGAACTATTCTTCTTCATCTTTGCCCTCAATCCCCTGGTCTAACAAAAAACACAATATTGATTGCATTATGAATGAATATTTCAGAACAAAAACATTTTGGCACAATGTTTTCTCCACACACTTAAATTTTTTTTTAAGAGTAGCACATAATCACAAGATGAATTTGAAAATATGATTTGCAGAGAACAACTTTCAGTTGATAGTCAGATTGGGACCTCATCTTAATTGGTTTTTCAGCATAAGATGTTTTTCCTTCTAGGTTGTGAGTATGTAATTCTGAAGAAATTGCAGGAAAAGTCAAACAAGAACACAGCCTTTCCTGGTAGAGCTGAGTTCCCCAGGGTACACAATGAGCTATTCCTTTTCCTGAGGATATTGAACCAGTACTTAGAACTTATCAACAGGAAACAGGTCAGGAGCCCTGGAATAGCAGGAAGTTCAAGAAGGATGATGGGCAGATTTTATTTGGGGGATCCAAGAAGACTGTGAACCAAGCACAAGGGTTTAGCAGGTTGTCTCAGGAGCAGTCTTAAAATTCAGGAGTTACTTTCTCTGTAGAGAGATTCTTGTGGTTTCCAAAAGGTGCAAAAAGCAGAAAAATCTTACTTAAATGGTATATGACTTTTGTACAAGGCTCGTTTTATTAAGAGATTTTTTCAGACTCTAGGCGCACCTATTTATTATTCTACTAATTATTTCAATGTGTTTTTAAAAATATATTTAGTACACTTTATTAATACCTCGTGACAAAGCCTGTTCACATTTGTAGGACAGATATTTTTTCTTTTCCTTTAAAAAAAAAAAAAAAACTCCATGAGATGAATCAGTGACCCAATTCATCACTGGTGAACTAGGATATAAAACTGGTTATCTCCATGCTAACATCTTTAAAAAGCCTTGGTATCCTGGGCAAAAAGCAACCTGCAGGGAAAACTTTTCCACATCGCCATCTGTGTGGAAGCAGAGTTGCTACTGAGGAGACTTTTAGGAGTGTACGTCAACTGCAGTGTAGATAAAATTCTAACTTGTAAATACAGCATCATATACTAGCTGGATAACATCAGCTGGAGGATGTTTGCCTTTTGTTTCACTGTGCTTTTTCTAAGGAGAATTGTAAATGCTTCCTATCCTTTCTCTAAACGTAGCTCTGTGACAATACTTTGAAGATTCTTTAAGACAAACAGTCTTTACCACTGAAAATCGCTATTGTTTCTCCTTTATTCCAGGTTATTATATTTAGCGGCCAGCTGCCAGTTGTGATAACCAAACACAGGAGAAAACTTATATGGTTTTGGGGCATCAGCAGAAAACTAGAGAAAATTCCTTTTGTTGATACTTCTACCATTAAGCTCCAGGTCAAAGGTAAATAAAACAAACAAAAAACAAAACCAAAAAATGAGGACATGTTCTTCCCATTCTTCCAAGGCTTTCCCCATTGTAAAAAGACCTTTAAGTATCAGAAATTTTATTTTTATTTAAATGATTTCGACTGCCTCAGTGAATTAGGGTTTATTTTTACTTTATTTAAATAATGCCTTTATTTTAAGGAGAAAATATGAAAATTAAATGTATCTTGGCTACTTCTTATGAAAAAATGAAGGATTAGAAATTATATTGAATTTAGCAAATATTTAGTGAAAACCTCCTATGTGCCAAGGTGCTATTCTAGGGATGGTGAGTGGGAGAAAGATAATATACAAATAATTAATATTTCCTTCCTGAAGATGATGAGGTATTTACATATCAACAGTCTCTTGAAAATAAGACGGCTGTTTCAGGGAGCCCACGTGCCTAGCACAGGGGTTCAGATTGAATATAGAGGAGAATTTTATTTGAAGAGGATTAATTGACTTTAAAACAGATATTCTTTCCAAGTAGTTACTGACAATTTACAGACAAATTTTATTTTCTCAATGGCCCTGCAACATTAGCAGGAAAATAGACTGTTTTGCCCAGCATGCACATAGAGGTTGATATCTAGAAGTGGCTGGTGGCTTACTCCAGATAACAGTAGCAAGCACTGATACAGTATCCAACTCTATAGGACATCATTCGCAACAATTTACATATATTTTTGATTTAGTCTTCCAACAATTTTAAAAGTAAATCCAATTATTATTTTTTGATGGAGAATTTGGGGCATTGAGAAATACAGTTAAAAGTACTGGTATGTTAATCTGGGGGGTTCAGACATGAGCCCTTCGATTTGTGAGTGGTGAGAATGTACTCAGAGGGAGTCAGGAAGCTCACAGCTTTCCTTCACTGGGTAACCGATGCTGGCAAGTTCTAGGGGTTCACTTCTCCATGGAACTCTGCAGTCCTGACACAGAGAACAGTGACACTGCAGAGAAAAGCCTTTTCCCCTCAATTCCAATTTGGAAATCCATATCTCTTTCCTTTTACTCTGTCAATCCAACATAATGCCTGAAAGCTTAGAAAATGCATAGGAAGATTTGGCAGGCTGCAAGCTTTACATTTATTTATTTATTTAAAAAAATCAATCAGTTATAACTGGACCACCTCCTCCAATCACATATTGATTTCTGCGTGATATTTATACTTTCTCTGGACAAAAGAAGAGAGAGAGAGGGGGGGGGAGTCTCCTAGTTCTATCTGAAAGAGAGAGAGAGAAAGAGAGAGAGAAGAGGAGAGGAGAGGAGAGGAGAGGAGAGGAGATTGAATATAGAGGATAATTTTATTTGAAGAGGATTAATTGACTTTCAAACATATTCTCTCCAAGTAGTCACTGACAATTTACAGACAAATTTTATTTTCTCAATGGCCTTGAGAGGAGAGGAGAGGAGAGGAGAGGAAAAGAGAGGAGAAGGGAATGGAAGGGAAAGGAAGAAAAGAGAAAGAGGGAGGGAGGGAAGGAAATTATGTTCTTGTTTGTTCATAGAGCATCATTGTCTGGTCCTCTGTAATTCCAATCAAGTTATTGGCAATTTGAACAATGTCAACTGAAATCTTCAAATTGTTGAAGACATTTCCAAGTGAAAATATGAAAGTAAGCGTTGATTTCTAGGAAGCTGGTTTCAAAGCCCATACACTGGTGTACTTCTGTATTTGCTCTTAGTCTTTTTGTGGCAGGTTTTTCAATGGCCTGTTTCAAATACCAGCGTTATAGATCTTTTTGAGCAAATTCTTTCAGATAGAGCATCTTAATGAGCACTTCTCACAGATAAAATATTTCCAGTTGTTACAGTTATCTGACAAAAGGACATTGTCTTTGAGGAATCTGCAGAGCTGGTTGGTTGACTGGGGTCCCTTTGTTGGTAACCTGGAAAGGCAAGTCAGCATATCTGAGGTTAGATGGGAGTGTGACAAGGATGCTTTTGAGGTTAACACATGAGAGAGGCCTTTTTGTTTTAATATGGCACCCTCCTGTGGTGGTTTTATCCTCCTCCTTCAGCAGCAGCAGTTTTGTCTCCATAAAAATATGTTAATGTAATTTTAACAGTGTACGAAGAAAAGGAAGCCATGTATACACAAAGATAGGTGGTAGATAGTATATGTCTCCTGACTCTTAATTCTCAAGGTAGTAGGGTACTTGATTCTGCTCACCAGTCTCTCTAGTTCTATCTTAAAAGTTCAATATGATAATTGCTTAATAATTATTACAATCTGTTTCCCTTAGTGCTCTAAACATTAAGTGATACAGAGAAAATGCACTTGATAATTATGTTATATTGCTCATTTAGACACTCATATTTTGGTTTATTTTCTGTAGGATAATGTTTGGAGGGCTGAGAAGAAGATTTAGAAGCTGTGAAACTACCTCTTCATAACATTAGCTTTAATTTCAATCAGGAGCCTGTGATATTGAAATGCTGATATGTCTCCTGAAGGGAATCCAGTGTGCACAATAAAATTAACCTTTGAATTGCCTCATCTTTCTAGTTATTCTCACAACATTTTCCTCTGAGACTTACAGGTCGGGAGAAGGAGAGGAGCCATCTTGCCAAAGCAAAGGTGCCTGAAGTCCGTCCTGAGATATTTCCACCCAGTACGCATAGCCTGCTTTGAGCTTCTGCAAGTTTTTGGTGATAAAAACCTATGAGAGAAGATCTGAACATGAACCAAGAAAAAAATAAACCATGAATAAAACTATCATGAAGTATGAATTCTGACATTTTGCCTAGCTGGAAATAAATGGTAACTTTAGTGCTGAAGAAAAAGAGAGGGGGTTATTTAAAAAAAACAAAATGAAACAAAAAAGTGGGGATACATCTTATAGATTTTTCTTCTGTTTCTGTATGACCAATGTAGTATTAAAGACAATGGGAAAAAGGCATTTGATATTAAAGTAATTTTAATGAATGGATTCAGAGTCTGACAATAGATGTCAACAAAAAAAAAAAAAAAAGGAAGGGGGTAGGTTATACTGACCCCTCATAAGCAGAGGTAAAAAGATTTTTTATATCATATGACACGAGGATCACTCTTTCCTAGTATACTTCAATATTACCAATAGTTTAGGAGATTCCAGAAGCAATGTAACTGCAAATATATTTTGTTAAAAAACATTTATAACTTTCATCATCAAATTTACACAGAAAATAATTTTGTATACCCATAATTATAATAGTTCAAGCCTTCCTAGCTTACCATATATCCTTAACACATTGTTTTCTCACTATTCTTGTAGAAATGAGCTTCAACTAATTACTAAATATAGTCAGAATACGTTTTTAATGTAGTAAAAGATATGTTGTAATTATGCATTCTGTTTCATATATATTTATGTGTAGAATGATTTTAGAGAAATATCTTGTTCACTTGTTAAAATATTACTGAACTATGTTTAATATCAACTTAACATTTCATTTACCAAATACTTGGTTTTATTAGACCTATTCATTTCATGACATCACCTCAGTTTTTTTATACTTCTGGTTTTCCAGATTATTCTATTTCTCTATAGCATGGAGAAATACATTGGAAAATATATGCAATAAACATGTATGTGTATGTTGAAGTGGGCTACATGTCATGGAAGACTGTTTTTCTTGTGGTCTAGTCTTTTCCTTTTCTTTTTCATTAACCAAGGACATAGAACTAATATACTCTCCTTGACTTCTGTAAAAGCAACCTTATTTTTGCTTCTCCCATTAAAAGGAAAATAAAGCATAGTAATTCCTACTTTATATCTTTTAAGTAATTATTTTTATAAATTTATTTTTATAAGTATTTATTTTTATGAACTTTATAAACTATTAAAAACATTAAAGAATTCTATCTTAGGAGAATCTTCTTTCTTTTAATAAGTAACATAGTATTTTCAGAGTGACATGTAACCATAAAGCTGAATTTACCATTTCTTCTTTGCTGTCTATTTGTAGAAGACTGGAGCCCTCTTTCAAACAAGCCTCTTTGCTGGCTAGCCAACTTTTCCAAATATCAGAGACATAGTAACAACTCTTTCCATTCTGAATCCAGTTGTCCGAACAAGGACTGCAGTTACAGGCTTTGAATAGAAACATTTCACATTATTGTCACCACTGTAAAAATTAGTAGAATATCTCCCCAGACTAACCCTCTGTCACCTCCAGGAAAACTAAACACTATAACCATGTGCAGCACTTAGTCATTCCCATATGTAGCACTTAGCAATTCCAGTTTTTCTGATACTGAGAACCGTAAGATTTATATAATACTTTTGACCTACAATAGGTCTCTAAGAGTTGGTTTATTTAAAAGTAATTCGGAGACATTTTTACCCAAATATTTCCTCTTCTATAAAAATTTATATGATTTTCTCAGTTTTATCAATCTTTTCCTTTCTTTGAATTTACAATATTTACAATCTTTTCTTGTTCACTTATTATCTCAGGCCTGTTAATCTTACTGCTCAAATTTAACCTGAAGTGTACTGAATAACTAGATGAATTGAATAGTAAGCCTTGAGTTCATGTTCAGATTCTGAGAGTTAAGCAAGAAATATTTCATGTCTAGCAGACAGAACAAACAGTACAACTTCAGGAATGATTTGAAAACATGTAGGGGAAGAAAATGGAAGAAGGATGTAAATGAACAGTATGCTTATTTTAGGACTTCGACATAACTAAAAGGTAAGCATTAGTATTCAATGTTTGAAGGAATTTGTTTTAAGAAAGAATGTATTCACAAAAAGAAGATCAACTGCATAAAGTAGAACAAAGAGCAAAAATTTGACCAAGAGATCTGGCACAGTTTTACAGGAGAAAAGATACTTAAACTTCCAGAACTGTTGTTTAGCTGCATTTTCTTTTTAAAAACTTAGTGTTTTCCCTATACTATTGGAGTAGATAAGAGTAAAAAGCATCAAAATCATGTCCCCCTACTATAAAATTCTGAAGAACAATTTTGAAGAGAATAAAATATATCATTGTTTTTTTCTGAGGAGTTAGTGCATGCATTTGGATTTCTACTGAAAACAACTGATCTTATATCAATTACCCAAACTGAAAGAGTTTTGCATCAAGGTTTGACAATATTTCATCTGAATGTCATGGTTTCTCTTCCATTGCGTAAAGTTCAACAATGCTCTTTCCTGGTGGATGAGTTTTTCTTGCTGCTGCATTGAGATGGTAGATACCTGGAAAACTACAGACAAGAATACTCATTCCTACCAAAATACTGACATCTTATAACCAAGTAATCCTTCAACACAGACTAAAGAAAGCTCTAAATTACTGATAAGTTTTGAGACTTGAATATGCATTATTTTAGATTTTTGAAAAATTTAAAATTTACATTTTTCAAGCATCAAATGTTAAAATTAGCTTGACACACAAAGATTAAGTATACCATGTTTTCTCTCATATGTAGAAATGAAAAAAAATGACAAGAAAATAGAAGATAGATTATTGAAGAAGTGGAGGAATAGGGTAAAATGGAACAGAAGGAAGGAAAAGAAAGAATAGTAGGGAGGGTGAATATAATCAAAGCATAATACGTGTACTCATGGAAATGCCACAGTGAAACCCATTAATTACTACACTTACTATGATTAAGTAATTACTATAAAAAGAATCAAATGTTTCAAGGGATGCAGAGCAAAAAGCCATATTGGTATCCATGTTTTTTTTTTTTTTTTTCAAACTACCCAGTTTCACTAAGAGCAGATGAGTTTATCAATTTCTTCTTTATTTTTCCGAAGATATTTTTAATTTGACAAACCAATGAATATAAAATACTCTTCTCCCCTTTATACAAAGGGTGAAAATCTATTTACATGATATTGTACCTTTTATTACTTTAAATATATATTTTTAAAATTTATTTATTTTAATTAGGTACGTATACATATGAAAACCGAATGCATTTTGATTCATTGTACACAATTGCAGCACAACTTTTCATTTCTTTGTACACGATGTAGCAGCATCGCACTATATGTGCACTCATATATGTACCTAAGGTAAGAACTTATATACTTTGGTTCTAGTTCTATAATGACACATCAAAAACTTTCTGTTACTCTTTCATCATACCTGTAAGATTCCATCATGTGAATGTCCTATATTTTTCTATTGCCTTTTAGGTGATTTGTAATTTTTCTTGTATGGCAAAAAGCATTATTGCATAAAGAATCTTAGTCTTACATCACTTTACATGTGCTAGTGTATTTTTAAGATAAGGTCAAAATTTGTGGACATTTAAATTGTATTAGATATTTCCAAACTACCATCCATATTATGAATTTACAGATGTATAGTATAGAAATATGTAGATGTGCAATTATCTTTTTATGTTTGAAGTTAAAGTTCTTTTTACATGAATAAAGTCAGATGTATTTTCCTTTGTATGAAATGTATGATTATATCCTTTGTGATTTTCTCCCTGTTGAGTTTCTAGTCTTTTATTTTTTTATTGTGCTCTGAGAAATAGTTCCAGCAAGCCCCAAATCAGCCTGAGCAGTATTTTATAAGTTCACAATGGCACTGAACTTCAGAAAAGGCATGAGACATACTGATTAATAGTGTACTTTTATAACCAAGAGTCCAGGAATTAGGGGACCAGATTATACTATCTTGTCAGCATTGTTTATTGATGACAGTATAATATGTGATTTGTCCTTGGTTATAATGAGACCATGAAAGAATTGTGGTGCTGAGCCAGGTTACTTAGCCTCAGCAAAGTTTTGCCTTTGTGATCAGCAAAATATAATAATCCCCAAGTGAGGCTCCATTTTGAGCTCTTAGGACCAACATACCCTATATACATGTCATTGATTTCAGATCCAGGAGAGAAGCTGTGTCCTCACAGGACACTTTCAGAGTCAGGAAAAGGTGCTACCTCTCCAGGATCCTTCTGATGAGACAGACTTTGGCTAATATATATGTTTACTTTTATGATGTTGTTAAGTTGTGTCCTTACCTTATAATAAACTAGATTTATGAATGCTCTCATTCTGAGTCAGGCGAGTCTCTTTTAGCAACCGACCCTGTTATCTGATACTGTGTGCACAAACATGATGTGGAGGCAGATTTTGTATGATATGAGCTACAATTATGTGTTTCTAGTTTGTATGTTGGGTTTGTGGTAGTTTATGCCACATAGATTCAGTATTTTTGATTAATTTTTAGTAAAAGAGTTTTATATGTGAGATTATACTTCTATATTTTAATTTATATTTTGATGTATGTGGAATTTATTTGATTGTAAATTGTAAGGTATAACTTCAATGTTTCCCCCAGGTATCTACAGAGTTGTCTTAGTCATTTGTTGAATATCTTCCACCCCCATAACTCTTCAGTTGCTGCATTTAAATCACTGTAAATATCTAATAAACTACTCAGATTTAGTTTTGTTTTAATTATATTCAGCTCATCTATTTATTTATTCATATTTCAGCATGTCAGGGCCTTAATTACTTTAACTTTGTAATTTGTTTTAGTATCTGATACTTTAATACTGTATTAGTTTTTTTCCCTTACTATTCTGACTAGCTTACTAAGCCCATTTCTTTTAAAAAAATCACTTTATAAAGTAGCTGCCTGTTCCTATTACAGTAAACACTTCTCTTAACATGCATTGAGTATTTATCTTATTTGGTTGTAATATAATTTCTTGAACTTGCAGTTTAATGTTTTTAATCAATTTTGGAAATTTTTTATTCAAAAGCCTTATAATAGTACTTTTGTCCAACACTTCCTTTTCCACTTTTGGCTCTACTATAACACATATTCTAGTGTTTTTTGAGTTTTGTGTCTCTCTCTCACTTTTGTATATTTTGCTCTTTTTTTACAACTCCTTTTTTATTCTCTATATTATTTCTGCTTTATTTTCTAATCTATTAATTTGCCCTTCAGCTCAGGGGATATATTAAACTTTTTTTGCAGGGGAAGGGACCAATGGTAGAGCAGATCATTGCTGTTGAAATTGTTAATGTATTATTAAGATATGATTGAACATTTGATACATTTTCATGCATATATTCCTGCAACAGACTATCTTTACAATGGAAATAATGAACTTAACTATCACATAAAAGTTTCATCTTTATAACTCAAATTTTATTTTGAGGCAATGTGAATTCATATGCAGCTACAAAAAAATAATAAAGATTTCAGGTACCCCTGGCCCACTTTCAACCAAAGAGTAACATCTTGCAAAATTATAGGTCAATGACAATACCAGGATATTGAAATCGATATATTCAAGATGCACAGCTTCTCCATCACCATGTATGGCCATCATATTTCCTTTTATAAGTAAGCATACCCATTACCCTCTTGCCCCATCGCTCCCAACACTAATCTATGTTCTAGTTCTATAGTTTTGTCATTTCAGTGATGTCATAAGTGGGATCTTATAGTATGTAACACTTTGTAATTGGCCTTTTCCATTCACAATAATTTCTTGGTGATTCACCGGATTGTTGTCATAAGTAGATAGATAATTCATTTTTTATTGTTGATATGGATTACCACATCTGTTTAACCATTTGCCTTTATATTAAAGAAGATCTGTGTAGTTTTCTGGCTTTGCTCATTTCCAATAAAGCTGCTGTACACCTGCCTGTACAGCTTTTAGTAAATATAAGCTCTCATTTCTCTGAGGGAAATGCTCAGGAGTGCAATTGCTATGTTCTGTTGGGGTAATAAGTTTAGATTTTTAAAAGAAATCACTGTGAGATTTTCCAGAGTGATTGTTCCATTTTACTGAAGTGAGTAAGCCAGCTCTCTTTACTCTCATGAGCACTTGATGTTGTGATTACTTTTTATTTTTAGCTCTCTGAGAGGTGTATAGTGATATCTCACTGTGGCTTTAATTGCTTTTCGTGAATGTTAATCACATTGATCATCTTTTCTTATGCTTACTTAAGTATATATGCTTAAGTCTGTATATCTTCTTTGAAGAGATGTATTTTTATTTGTTTTTTTATTTTCTAGTTGAGTAGTTTGATCTTTCATTGTTGAGTTTGAAAGTTTTTATATACTTTTTATATTCTAGTCCATTATTGGATGTGAAGTTTGCAAGTATTTAGTTCATCTGTAAATGGTTTTTAATAGTGTCTTTTGTAAGGAAAACATTTTTAATGTTGAGGAACATGCAGCTTAACAGTGTTTTCTTTTTATTACTTATTCTTTTGATGTCAATTCCAATATCTCTGCCTACCCTTAGATACTGAAAAAAAATTCTCCATATTTTCTAAGAGTTTTATAGTGTTTGCTTTATAGTTGACACTGTGACACATTTTGAGTTGATTTTTGATATTTTTATAAGATGTGAGACTTAAGACTTTTTTTGCCAATGGATATGCAATTTATACATCAGTATTTGTTGAAAATGTTATTCTGCTTCATAGAGTTAATTTTGTATCTATATAAAAAATCAGCCGAGCATATTTGTGTGACACTATTACCAGGTTCTCTTGTATTTTGTTGCTGTATTGTTCAGTAATACACATAGCCCTCATTAATACTGCTATATGATGTTTTAAAATCAGGAAGATTGTTTCCTCCCTCATTATTCTTGCTTTAACTACTCTAGTTCTTTTGATGCTGCATATGAACTTTAGAATCACATTATCTACATCCACAAGAAATCTTGCTCATATCTTGAAAAGAATTGCATTAAACCTGCAACTCAGGAGGCTGAGGCAGGAGGGTTGCAAATTTCAGGCCAGCCTCAGCAATTTAGTGAAGCCCTGACAAACTTAGTGACATTCTGTCTCAAAATAAAAAATAATGACTGGGGATGAGGCTCAGTGATTAAGCACCCTGGATTCACTCTCTAGTACTTCAAATAAATCAAAACAGTAACAACAACCCCTCTGCCCCCCCCAAAAAGAAGGAGGCTCCAGAAAACCATAAAAAAGAATTTGTAATGGTGAACATTCAAATAAGAATTATTGAATATGCAGGAAAATGTCACACTTGAATATTAAAGATATACAATTTATACATCAGTATTTATTGAAAAGTTTTTTTTTTTTTTTTTTTTTTTTTTTGGTTTGTGTGTGTGATTGTTATTTCCCCCAGGGGGAGCAGTAATCTGCATATGAATTTGAGCAAAACTGACATTTTTCCTGTGTTGAGTCTTACAATTCATGAACATGCCCTGTATTTCCACTTAGTTTTTTTATTTCTTTCATCTAGTAGTTTTCAGCATATACATTCTGAACATGTTTTGTTAAGCATTTCATTGTTTAGAGTAAATACAATTAGTACTACATTTTTAATTTTGATGTTCATGTTCATTACTAAAGTATAAATATAAAATTGATTTTTGTGTATTTACTTTGTATTCTGACTTTGCTAAATGAACTTGTTAGTTCTGAGTAGAAGAGCTGTGCCAGCGCCATTTACTCTGTAGAGATAGTTTAATAGAGAGCTACAGAATTAGCTTCAAATAAGCTCATGACATATTAATAATTATTAACTGGCAGTCATTAAGTGCCTATGTTGTTAAATAGGAGAGAGAATGGCAATCTCTTAGTAAATTAATTAGTTAATTAATTGGTAAATTACTAATTAATTGGCAATCATTAGTAAATTAAAAATAATAAACGATACATGTCAGCCAAATCTAAAGGAGTAAAACTCAGATCTTCTAGAGAAAAATAGGGGAAAAGGAAGAAAATGAATAGAACTGTAAAATGATTTCTATTTTTTAACAAGAAAAAGGAGGTAAACAAGATCAAAAAAGGACTATCTGATAAAGATAGGATGATCTTACTTGTAATCAATGAAGTGGCCAAACTCTACTCTTCCTAGCTGCCATTTAGGTTCATGAATTATTAGAAAAATGAAAACATAGTAAATATTAATTAAGATTGGCCCACTTAAGATCTAGTTAACTCTGCCTTTTGGGGAAACAGGACACAATTTGGCTGTGCTCCTAATAGTGAATATTATAATGAAGGGGAAGATTATAATTTGTAAAATAAAGCAATTTGCATCATCATTACTTTGCCCATCTCCCCCTTACTGGCCAAGGCAGGACACACAATAGGACATTAAATCACATATTTCACATTCTGATTTGTTTTACTCACCAACATTGCTGCTAAAAAGAAAATATTGGAAATCAATAACCAGGAACTAGAGAAAGCAGGAGTTCATGCCCTGCTTCTCTGTGGATCAAGAAACTCTGGCTCAGCTGATTGGATTGTTTTTTCTCTTATCAAAGTTTGGGCCTAACCAGAGTGGGGGAATAGGACAATGGTGTTCTTTATTTTATCTTGTTAGCTATTTGGCAAACTTAGTAAAATGCAATAATTTAATTTTTAGGAACTTGAAATATAAGATGCTTTTTTTTTAGATTAGCTGTATTTTAGAAGCGATTGTTGCTCTGTTTATTACTCTCTGATTAGCTTGTACTATACAAAACTATTAAAACTGGAGAAAGGGAAATGAGACTTCTCTTTTTTATCCTAAATGGGAAGCAAAATACTTCACTTTTATTTGAGGTTGGAATTCATTTCCAACAAGTAAGGTTAACATTGTAATTACCTGGGGAAGCATAACAAAATACTTCTAAAACACCCCAAATAAAAATATGTGCTGTACAATGTACATTAAATCTAGCTAAGAATATATGAGAAGACCCAGGAAAATCATAAGGTTGATAACAACAAAAAATAAATGAAAGCTACTACATTGGGACAAAATTCAAAGGAAAAAGTATTACATCTGTGTAATACTTATTTACAGCTATAAGATAAAACAAAAAATCTTTTACTTGTAAGAATTTTCCAGAAATTACTGCTAGTCTTAAACATATTAGAGTCTAGCTAGTGTCTCATTATTTTTATCAAAGTAACTTTATTTTTTTCAAACAATTTTTGTCTAAAGATATAAAGGAAAATTGGCATATCCTACATTCATAGGATTAAAATATTTTTAAAAAACACAAGCAAGTATAACTGACATAGCTTGTTATCATCATCATTATCATCATCTATCATACTTATATACTCTATTGTTATTTTGTGTAAATTCAAGAAAATATTCTTTTTAAATCAAATTATAGCATAATATACAGTATTTTGAATGTTGCCCTTTTTTTTAACCTAATAGTGTATCATGGAGATATTTCTATAGCAGTGCATAAAAAGATTGCTTCTCTTTCTCTCTCCCTCCCCTTCATGGTACTCTATTGTATAGATGAAATATTAGTTATTTAAATGGTCTCTTATTGATATACCATTTGGATTTTTCCAGTTTTTATAAAAAAACTTCCTACTGCTGTGTGTACAAGTTTATCTATAAGAGAAATTTATAATGTGGTATTACTAGGACAAAATTAATTAGTATCATTTACAATAACTAACAATTCTTAGAAATATGATTGTCATAGTTTATCTAAACACATCTCATGCACTAGACAGAGAATAAGACAAAATTATATATATATACTGACATCAAGTATTATTAAAGACATTTAAAACGTCCAATGTACTTTTATAGACACATATTATATGATTTTTTTATCATCTGATTGTTGTAGTTGGACACTCTAGATTTTATTTTTATATATAACCAAATTTTATATTCCATTCACTTGACAATATTGCTATAAGATGTTATCTATTCAGTTAATTTTGTTCTTAATCAGATACAGCTTTTTAAATTTTTAAGTTTCTTTTATTCCCTTAATATTTATAAAGGAAACATTGAAATTTATTTTATAGAATTAATATTTAAACTACATCTGCAATGAGTTCAATATGGATTTTTGTGTTGTAAAGTTAGAAAAGAGGTTGGAACTATTTCATTAAACATCCCAAGTTTTGAAGGGGACCAAATTATATTCTATGCTTGTATGGTTATGTCAAAATGTACTACAATATTAAGTATAACTATAATAAACTAATAAAAAATAATAAAAAAGGTTCTCAGTTTTCACTGAAGAATATCAAGATGTTTACTGACTTACCATTAGTTCTATTTAAATGAATTTTTCTAGTGTGTTTGATAAACAGATATTTAACATATGAGCATCTTAATAGATGGACTAGAATTTACTTAAAATATTGAAAACAAAACAGAAGGAGGGTAGATGGAGAAGGGAAGCTTTCTGGAATTTCTAACATTTGTGTTGGGCTGTGTTATTTCATCTGAGGAGATACACAGGGTAACAAGAATGATTTGAGTTTTAAAATAGTTCTCTAAGAATCATTAGAAAATTCATCTTCTAGCACTATGTGAGCAAGTTCAAGCTTGTCAAAGAAAATCTAACACTTTCCTTTAGCCTTCTCAGAGCTCATTGTACTTCCTGTTCAGCAGATGCCTCTGAGATAGAGAAATGATTTGCCAAGGTCATCACAAAAATTATCCAAATATAACCTCCATCACTATCTTTCTAAGCGTATTTTTTCAGTGCTAGCAGAAGCCATATTAGAGGTTCTTAGTTTTTTTTTTTATGGATTTGGAAACTCCATAATTGTTCTATTTTATAAAAATTTCATGTGCTAGACATGGAAACATTTCTCTAATATGAATAAAAGGAATAAACCAGTGTGCTTAAGTATGGCTCAAATATAGCTCTTAGCTTTGCTTTAAACATTTGAAATTGTACCTTGCTTAATGTGCAGTGAAACACATTAAAATAATCTGAAAAAGTCATTTGGAATAACTGTATATTAGAAGAGTATATCCGAAATCTTTCAATCCTTTGGCATGCTAATGTGACTCACAAATAGAACCAGAATAATAGTAATGAGAGGGAGATTGTAGCTCAGTAGTAGAGTGTGCCTAGTGTATGTACAAGACCCTGGGCTTGATCCCTTGCACCATGAAATAAATAAAAGAAAGAAAGATGAAAGAAAAAAAGAAAGAAACAAAGAGTAAGAAACTATTCTCATTGTTTTTTTCTCAAGGAAATATATAAGATTAGATTTGAGTTAAATAATATGTAAGCCATCATTGATGTTATCAGTAATATCCAAGTGCACATAGATACATAATAAATAATTATCCTATAATTTAAATCAGAAAACCTTTATTTATATCATTTAGACACATTCAAATAGTTTTTAACTGGTTTTTCATTCACTTGGAAATCATGAAGTTTTTATGTAATGACATACATATAATTATATGAACGTGTAATTTATAACTTATATATGTTAATAGATTTTTTAAAAATATTCTTTTGTACTTACATTTGATGCCCAAGAAAATGGATGTTGTTAACAAGCCTATGCAGAAAATCCATGAAATCGCCATCACAACACAGTATGTTCCTAAACATGAAATTGGGACAACGAAATTGAATTAGAGAAAGTACCAGCAAGGGATGGGTCAGAGATAAGATGAGGCTGAGCAAAAGAAGGAATTTATACTGGTGCGTTCTCACTGGAAAATTATGGAGGCCTGGAATTTGTAATTATGTGTAATAGGAAAAAGAAAGCCTTTTTAAAAACTTTTTGAAATGAAAGTGATAATTTGGAATGCATCTGATTTGGAAAATGTCAAATAGATTTAATAGTACACCTCTCGGTCTTTATGCATAGTATCACAACCTTACTAATTAATTACATGTTTTATTTTTCAACAGTCTTTAGGAATTGTCACAAGCCAGGTAGCTGCCTTGAATTTTTGAGAGCAAGAATGCAGTTGTATCTCCCATACCTCTTTTAAGTATCACTTAAATATGACTGATTAAAATATATTTCTTTATAAGTTATATAATTTTGGATGAAGAATAAATTTTTCCAGATAATTTTATAATTCTTAGGAAGGAAAATTTAAGAATGTGTGATTTATTATATTAACACTACTCAAAGAAAAATAAATAAAATTTATCTTTAGATAGTGTGGTAGGGTTCCTTATCCTTGGTACCTGTAAATAGTATTTTATGTGGCAATAGACACTTTGAAGATGTTACTAAATTAAGGATTTGGAATGGGAGGTTTACACTGGCTTATTTGGATTCTTATAAGCAAGAATCAGATGATTAGAGACACAAAATGTGATGAAATGATAGAAGCAAAGAAACGTTAAGGTGTTATGCTATTGGATTTGCAGATGAAAGAAGAGAGCTTAGAGCCAAAGAAAGCAATAAATGCAAGTCTAGAAACTAGAAATGACAAGGGGATAGATTCTCCTGTATAACCCTACCAACATCTTGGTTTTGGCACAGTAAAATCCATTTCAAATTTTGATCTCTAAAATTTTAAAATGATAAATTTATGTTGCTAAATTTATGATGACTTGTTGCATCAACAGAAACACACTAATGCAAATATTAAATAAGAAGACATAACTGACTACTATAGCAGGCAGCTCCAGGATGATATTTTTTCACTTTTCCCATTTTTTATTTCTTAGTATTTATCAAATAATTTAGAGAGTGTTTGATACAAGAATTAAAATGATATAATTTATTTTACTTATTTTCTAAATCTTGAAATGCATCTTTCTTTCTTTCTTTCTTAAGAGAAAAGGAGACATATTTGTTAAGTCTCTCATTCTTTTCTTTTTTCACCTTTATTTACTCCACTTCATTTCATTTAGTATGTCAGGCATATGAAAATATTCTAAGTAGATTATCTCAGATTAGAAAAAAATAAATCTTAGACTCATCATAGAACAAGAAACAAAGCAGAAACTCAAGTCTTACCCTAAAAAATTAGAACTCATTACCTGAAAGTTTGGTGGAAGTCAGACATTTCTGAGAAGTTTCTGATGTTGGATTATCCCACTGAAGAGAGGTGTATATTTCTTCTTCGTGCATGGCTGAGAGGCTTTGATAGGTAAAGCAGCCAGTCCATGCAGGAGGCTGATACAAACAGCTCCATTTGTGGTTAGGAGCAAGTTGGTGAATGAAGTGAAACTGGCTACTTTTTTCGCAGTAGTGGGAAAATATGTTTGAGTTTAAGGAATAGAACTGATGCATTTTCATTTGAAAGTGGAAGTTTTTGAAGTGTAATTGGTAAAGAAGGAAATGAGATCGTATTGAACTTGATATGGCCAATGGTAGAACATGGTTCTGCTCTGGTTTCCAAAGTGTCACAAATACAGAAGGTGATGGCCCTGGGTTAGTTTAGAAAGGATATATGTGCAAACAATGTCCTTCTATTTGGCACAAGATATGAAGCAGAGAGATGGCTTAGACAATGGAGATACAAGGAAGATCACAATGGGCAAACCAGGATGTAGATCATCACTATGTGTCCTTAAGAAAGTTAGGAAGGGATTTCATTCCTAAAATAAATTTACATGCTGTATGTTAATTTGGGTAATACTAACAGCTGTGATAAGTAAACCTCAAATATCGGTTAACACTATAAATTTTTTTTTTTCTCACAAAACACCTTAGCTCCAGTAATCTTGAATGGTGGACAGCTTTTCTCCCAACGGGACCTGGATTTCTGGCACATTGTGAGACATTGATCCTCTACTTCTATCCACTGGAAAGGAAAAAGAGAAAGTGGTAGATTCACACTTCTTGAAAGCCAAAACCTAGAATTAAAATGTATCACAGCCACATCTACCAAGGGCATATCCATATATGGATATAAAGGTTAGGTTTGACAAGTATATATATATATATATATATATATATATATATTTTTTTTTTTTTTTTTTTTTTTTGCCTAGACAGCAAGCTTTCAATAGTAATTTCACTTTAGAAGGGAGGCACAAATTATTTAGAGCACAGATGGCCATTTGTGTTAATCCTGTGACTAGGGCATCAGTATTGAGAAATTCATTCCTTTAATCATTACTCATTTTTTAGCCACTTGTTCTTATGGCCAAAGGTCATGCCTTAGTAACTTCAGTGTTTCACTGTGTCACTGTTGTTTCAGTGTCTCACTAGATCGGTTGTTGCTCTCATAATAGGCTCCTAGAAGCAAACAAACAGCACATGTAAGGGATCAGGTAAGGGAATTCACTAAAGACTAAAGTTTTTGCAAAGGTTAAGAGAAGAAAAGCAGGATGGTGAGTTACACACTGGGAAGCTGTTATCAGTCCTAGGCTTATGGAGGGTGTTTATTGGAACTTTGTGGTTTCCTTCTTTACCAATTACACTTCATATAGAACAAACAGACTTTGCTAAACCAAGGCCCTGAAGGGAGAGAGTCAGTGGAATCAATATTCAACTTTTGATCATTGCCAGTGCCTCCCATTGGCTGGGGTAACTGGAAGCCAGAGGCCAAGCTTGTCTAGGTAATATGCTCATTTTTTGAGTTCAGCTTCCCAAGACACATGATGGGGCTGAGAGGGTCTCCACGGACAAATGAAAAAAATCCAGCACATTCTCTAAACATTTCATGCAATGTTTTTGTGACCTGAGATGCTAATCTGAATAAACCAGGTTACTAAAATCTATGTAACCTTTAAAATGTCCCAAGTTCTGTTTAGAGGAGAAAAAGAGGAAGAAGCCATAATCATACCAAATGTGAACTGACATGAATGACATGAACGAAGGTCCTATTAGCTATTATTCATTTCCAGTTTCTCTTCAGATTTTATTAGCACTAAGCATTGAGTTCAGAAAGACCTGATTTTATCAAATACACTGTATTTTTTGATAAATTTCTTTGGGAGGGTCATTGGTTTTCTCCAGTAAAAAATTAATATGCTTCTCATATTATATTTGATTATTTTAATCATATTTCCCATTATTTGCTGTTCATTGTGTATTGTACTATTTTAAATATCTTTCACATGAATTATTTTGATTCTTACAATAGATCCATGAAATAGGTACTACTATTAGTAAAGTGTAGCTGAATTGTAAATTAAAGCACAGTGAAGTCAAATTTTCTGAAATTCACTTAGTAAGTTTCACATTTAGTGGCCTGATCATAGCATAAGTTTTATTAATGTCTGTGTTAAGCTGTATAAGATGATTTAGCTGTGAGTACCAGAAAAAAATAGAATCTTTGTAGGCATAATTCAATTAGTTTACATATTTTATTTGTGTTTTAGGTATAAACTAAGATATCATTCTTCTAAATTTGAATGTGCTATAACTGTGTATAAATATATGCTTTTCCATATTGGAAATAAGAAACAGTAAAGTTCAGAGATATGGCTAATTTGGGAGAAATTTTCTGAATTATTATTTCCAATTTGTTTTATCTAAATAAACAATTAAAAATAATTTACCACATCTTCATCAGATAGAGAACTAATCTCAAGGATATATAAAGAACTAAAAAATATTAATACCAAAACCCCCAAATAACCCAAATAAATAAATGGGCCAAGGAACTGAATGGACACTTCCCAGAAGATGGTATACAATCAATAAATATATAAAAAATGTTCAACTTCTCTAGCAATTAGAGAAATACAAATCAAAATTACTCTAAGATGTCATCTCACTCCAGTCAGAAGGGCAGCTATTAAGAATATGAACAACAATAAGTGTTGGCAAGGATGTGGGGAAAAAGGCACACTCATACTTTGCTGGTGGGACTGAAAATTGGTGCAGCCAATATGGAAAGCAGTATGGAGATTCCTTGGAAAACTGGGACTGGAACCACCATTTGACCCAGCTATCCCTCTCCTTAGTCTATACCCAAAGGACTTAAAAACAGCATACTGAGGGACACATCCACATCAATGTTTATAGCAGCACAATTCACAATAGCTAAACTGTGGAACCAACTTAGATGCCCTTCAGTAGATGAATGGATGAAGAAAATTTGGCATATATACACAATGGACTATTACTCAGCAATAAAAGAGAATAAAATTATGGCATTTGCAGGTAAATAATGGAGTTGGAAAATATAATGCTAAGTGAAGTTAGCCAATCCCAAAAAACCAAATGCTGAATGTTTTCTCTGATATGAAGATGTTGATCCATGATGGGGATGGCGGGGGTGGGGGGGCATGAGAGGAATAGATGAACTCTAGATAGGGCAAAGGGGAGGGAGAGGTAGGGAGGGGGAATGGGGTAGGAAAGGCAGTAGAATGAGATGGATATCATTACCCTAATTACATATATGAAGACACGAATGGTGTGACTCTACATTGTGTACAACCAGAGATATAAAAAATTCTGCTAAATATGTGTAATATGAATTGATATGCACTCTGCTGTCATATACAACAAATTAGAATAAATTAAAAAAAAGAGAAAACAGAAAAAAATTAAAAACAAGACACATGAGGTGTTCAACAAACTCCACTCAAAAACCAAACCAGACAAACAAGCAACAATAATAAAACACACACACACACATGCACACACAAAGAAAAAAAAAACCAGGTTAAAGTAAAATAAGGAAGAAAGGAAAGAAAATAATACCCCACTCTACCAAATCCAATATCTCTAGACATTTGGAATGACAAACAGAATCTGGAGAATTTGTGATATTTTTCTTCAGTTTCCTAACACATTCTTGTTTATTGACAGTAAGATAAAGATTTGAGAATGCTTGGGAGTTAATGCATGAAGCTATAAATATAACCCATATTTATTAAGTAAGTATTGCATGCTTAAAACTCTGACCATTACTTTATATCATTATACTAACTAATCCACACAATTACCTTCTGGATAAGAAAATAACATTGAACCCATTTCATAGAAAACCGAGTTGTAAAGAGACTAAATTACTTACCCAAAGCCACATAAGCTTTAAAGCAATGTTTTTTTGGAATGTATTAAAGACTATCCATATCAGAATCATGTAGAGGTGTTTGTTTAAAACAGGGCTGTCTCCTCAGCCTTCAAACCAAGAACCATCAGTATTTGTGATGTAATATCTCCATGTTTTAACAAACTCATTTGGAAGGTGGAGAATTATGTTCATAAATTGTATGCCCACTAGTTAGAGAAAGGAAACTGTGGGAAAGAAGGGCAATTTTTTCTTGTTATCCTGTTAAATGGTACCTGACCACATACTCCATAAATACTTCCTGAGTTATTCAGCAAAAACCAAACATAGGCCTCTTATGGAGGGGGGAGGGATAGATAAAACACTTTCACGTGTTTCTTCTGCCTTCTAATCTCTGGGCCTTGTTAAGAAGCATTTCCTCATTTATGAACACCAGGGGATTTTGTGTCAACTTTGTTTTTTTGCATTGAGTCTGATCAGGAGTGGACTTAAAATAGTAACGATATTTGTACACTTGTTGTACTGATTAAAGAGTTTTCTGAATATCTATGTCACATAATGCAAAGCATACAGTTTCTTGTGAACTCTATTAAGTGAGATCCAGACTTCCCTGTTCACTGTATTTGGTACTAATTATAGAACAGTGAACAGGGAAGTCATGGTCTCTGCTTCATAGAGTTTCTGATATAGTTAACACTATTAAGCTCATCTTAGGTTGTAGAATGGTGAGGTATATTAGCTGGGTAATATCCCATTTTAAATATGAAAAAATGGAAATTAAGGAGGTTGCATGACTAGTTCATGGCTATACTTTAGTTAAGGGACCACATTATCTAAATTTTCTCCTTATTCCACATTTAGTATTTCTAATACCTTATGCTGTATTTCTAACCTAGATATTTTGTACAGCTTAAGTCAACTAAGAGCTAATTTTTCTTGTCCAAATTTCAATTAATATGTGTGTATCTGAAGATGCAGTGAGTCATGGTATGTTCAGATAATTAAGAATGCAATACAGGAAGAGAAAATTAGTGGAAAATAGAGCAACTGATATGCAGATGATCAACTCACATGTTGGCTTCTGGACATGCAAAGAAGGGACTAGGCAAGTGGTGTTGGAAGTAAAAATAATATAAAAATGACTCCAAGGGGAAGAAAAGGAGAAATGAGCAATTTTGTGGCTATAGATTCTTCATCCAAATCTTTTATTATACAACCACCACTTCTCTGATATCTGTCCATCATTTTACATTAAAGCAGTTGTTCCACCTTTGCCAAGCCAGCCTTCTTCTCACACATTAAATAATGTCTGTCCTTACAGAAGGCAGGGCGGATTTTCCCATTGTGAAAATAAGCACAATTCATGTTTTCTGTTTCATCTCCAGAAAGATCAAGCCTGTGAATAAAAAAGGGTAGAGTGCATGCCTTTGAAAAATGAATAAATAATCAAGAGTCAAACCCTGGGTGCAAAACACTGTTGCACAAACTGGAGACGACAGGAAAAATGTAAAAACAAAAGCAGCAGCAGCAACAAAGCCCCCAACATTATCACCATTGAGAAACTTCACCTCTGCTTGAGAATACAAGGTATGTACATTTGAAAAGCCCAGTAGAAATTTTATAATGCATAAGATAAAGAAGAAGTGAACACTAACTATAATGGCAGTGCAGAGAAACGATGGGTATGGTTCTGATATGATGAGCAAAGGCTTTACCTATCAGATCAGTACTGAAGGAAGGCTAGGATTCAGATAAGCAGGGAGGACATGGGAGATCCTAGAGTACAAGCTGCACAAGATGGGAATAGGCTCAGGGAAAAGAAAGTTGATTGAATA